TTCCACCAGAATAAGCTTTTTAAAAATAGATCTTATCGTTATATGGCCAATTTCCATACTATCGGGATACTCGTATAAATTTTCTTAAGTATTGTGGCTTTAAAAAAAAATCTTTGTTAATTTTGCAAAGTATTATTTTTCAGTCATCATTATTTTTACTTACATGTCAAATTAATTATTTTAAATTTCTCTATCTCTATAATACTGTGCTTTAAGTTTTAAGTGCTTTATTATTTGTAAATGTTAGAGTGTATATCTGTAAATCACCAGAATGGAACCCTCAGATTATGTTCAAAATTAATTAATCCTGAAAGAAATTCATACACATTTCATTTATCAATTTTAGTTTTGCTTTACATAGATCGAAATTAGGGTCATTGCTGACCAGCATGTTCAATGATGTGAAACGCTGATATGTATACACAAATAACATGAATTGATTTTCTGCCCAAAGGCGATTGAAACCGCAAGTGTTGATACCATTTTTATACACATTAATCGGCCAGGTAATCAGAAGCAAAACAAAAAAGAAATAAATCATAAATCCAGGTATTTTCAACTGTTTATTTTTAAAATTAATGTACTCTTTTAATAACTTGTTTATAAATTAAAAACTACCGGTAATTCATAAATAATTTCCCCGATGATTATCCACATTGTTTATGTTACGGAAGAATGGTAGCATTAATTTATTAATTTTATTTTTAGCTCTTCTGAGCCAAAGGCTCAAAGAGCTAATGCTATGGCCATTTGTGTGGTGTGCGTCGTGCAGTGTACGGTGTGCGTTAACTTTTTAGAATATGGGCCATAACTCAAGAACCCCTTGGCCAATCAGTGTCAAATTTGTCACAGGGTATCCTTGGCCCAAGGGTTACCATTTATACTAAACTAAGGGTTGGGACCCTAAAACAAGGGGAGATAATCAGGAAAACAAAATCAAAAGTACTGGTTGCAAAAAAATCTTCTTCTCCAGAACCACCAAGCAGACTTTCACACAAGGATCAGGATATGTTGAAGATAAAAAATTGTTCAAGGCATGACCCTGGGGCAAAGGGCGTGGTCTCAAGGTCACTTCAAAGTTGACCTAAATTTACAATTAGTGAAAATGTCTATATTTCGCTTACTAGAAGGACTAGGATCATCAAATATTGTAAGTTGATGCATCTTAATTTTGCGGGCATTTGTTTTCAAATTGATATGATGGCATATTTTGGACACTTTAAGGCCTATGATCATCAAACTTTGTTAGTTGATGCATCTTGGGTCCTTGAACAAGGTCAACTTAAAAGTAGGTCACCGTGACCTACTTTTTGAACTTTATGACTTATCCTTTTTAAAACATTTAGTCCCATTATTTCAGACACTGAGAGGGTTAGAATCATCAAATCTTGTAAGTTGCTGCATCTTGGGACCTTAAAACATATTTATGAAAAAGTAGGTCACTGTGACCTACTTTTAGAATATTGCAGGCATTTGTTTTCAAATTGTTAAAAAGGCATATTTTGATTACCTTCAGACCAACGATCATCAAACTTAGTCAGCTGATGCATCTTGGGACTCTGAAAAATGTCAACCAAAATGTAGGTCACCGTGACCTACTTTTGACATTTTAGGGCTATATTTCAATATCTTAGGTATTTATAGGCTTAGAATCATCAAACTTGGTGAGTTGATGCATCTTGGGTTTCGGAGAGTGTCGACCAAAAAGTAGGTCACGGTGACCTACTTTTGACATTTTATGGCTATATTTCAGTATCTTTGGTACCATATATACTCGCCTATAAGTCGGATTTTTGGGAGCTAATTTCAGGTCCAAAACTCTATGTCCGACTTATAGGCGAGCTATAAAATGAATGGTATTATATGAAGTCAGTCCCTCTGATTTTGAAGCTTATTAAATACAACCGACTTATAGGCGGACCGACTTATAGGCGAGTATATACGGTACTTATCGGCTTAGAATCATCAAACTTTGTCAGTTGATGCATCGTGGGTTTTCGGAGAATTTCGACCAAAAAGTAGGTCACAGTGACCTACTTTTGACATTTTATGGCTATATTTCAGTATCTTTGGTATTTATTGGCTTAGAATCATCAAATTTGGTGAGTTGATGCATCTTGGGTTTTCGGAGAGTGACAACTAAAAATTAGGTGACGGTGACCTACTTTCAATATTTTATGGCTATATTTAAGTATCTCTGGTACTTATTGGCTTAGAATCATCAAACTTTGTCAGTTAATGTATCTTGGGTTTTCGGAGAATGTCGACCAAAAAGTAGGTCACGGTGACCTACTTTTGACATTTTATGGCTATATTTCAGTATCTTTGGTATTTATTGGCTTAGAATCATCAAACTTTGTTAGTTTATGCCTCTTAGGTTTTCAGAGAATGTCGACCAAAAAGTAGGTTACGGTGACCTACTTTTGAATATCTCAGGTATTTATTGACTTAGAATTATCAAACTTGGTCAGCAGATGCAACCTAGGCCTCTGATAAATGT